AATAGTAACAATCTTGAAAGTGATGACGACGATGATGATGATGGTGATGATGGTGATATAATCTATAAAAATGATAATAATAATAATATAATCAATAAAAATGATAAAAATTTAATACAAATTATTGCTGACGAAATTACTTGCTCTGTGACAATGGAACCATCAGAAGATTTGTGTATTTTAGGTTGTAAACATAAAATCAGCATTGATACATTTCAAAACATCGAAAAATTCTCAAGATATCGATGTCCTCAGTGTCGTCACATTATTCAAGACGAAAATTGTATGTATATACCTCAATATCATATATTTTCTTATTTCCATGTTTATTTCATCGCCTCTGGTCTCATAGGCACTACATCAACACCCTTTCCACCAATCACAAAAAAATCAAAGTCAATGTGTTCTTCTTATTATACAAATACTTATCAAGAACCTTTGTTAGTCTTTGATCCTCCATTAGAAAATACAACGATAATGGCGCCATCTATTTACACTAACAACTACAATCCCAACTTCTATAACAATGCTGTTGCCACTGATAACACCATCGTAAATCATTTTGATAATCGAGAAACTATTACTAGTAATGAAACAGACGAAAGCCAGTTGATTCAAGATATGTTTGACAAAGATTTAAAAAGGGTTTGTTTATTTTTCAAACTTCCAAAAAGAAAGCATCCCGCACAAGAAAATCTTTATAAATCTTTAAGTGCTCGCAATTATTCTGAAGCTCTGAATTGGTGCACAAGATTATTAAAATGTTATCCAAACACCTATTCAATTAGATGTATTCGAGCTTTTATAAATTTATTATCACATAAAAATTATTTTTCTGCTTTGTTAGATATTGATATTGCGATAAAGCTTAAACCTAAACGTTCACAAGCATTTTATTTACGCGGGGAAATTTATCGAAGATTAGGAACACTAAGATCATCAAAAGATCGTCATCTTAATAATAATAATTATTTTAATGAATTAGCATTGATTAATCATGTCAAGGCTTTGGAATATTCATTTGACGATCCAATTATCCTATCTATCAAAGGTGCTTTGTTATATATGATGGGACGATACACTGAAGCTATAAGAGATTTAAATAGATCATTAGACAATTATCCTCATAATATATATGCACTCGGTTATCGAGGTGCAATATGTAATAAATTAGGTTTTAATAATAGAGCAATTGTCGATTTCAACGCCGCATTAACATTACTAAAATCACACAAAAATCGTCGTGATGATTTATTCATTCTGTGCGAGCGTGCAAAACTTTTTTATACTATAGGAATTAACGAAGCATCAATTTTGGATTGCGAAATGGCCTTGAGAATAATTCCAAATCTAATCAACATGATCCTAATACGTGTTGAAGTTCTTTATTTAAAAATCAAAGGTTCAGAAGAAATCAACAAATTAATAACGATTTTAAATAAATGTTTGGATGTGAAACAAAATGATATAAATATTTTAAAAATTAGAGTTAAATTACACATTAAATCTAAAAATTATTCCGAGGCTTTAAATGATTTAAATATAATTTTAAATTTAAAATCAAATGATGCCTTTTCAATTTCTTTAAAAAATGAAATCAATCAATTAATAAATAATAGCCAGCATCTATATAAATTTGAATACCCTGTCTTAAAGGTCTAAGAAAATCTTCTCTTAATAATTTATAATGAGTTTCCAGATATTCTTCAATGTTTTCATAGGAACCTTTGGTTTTATTAACAGGAATATATTTTGGTCTAGGACCCAATAGTTCCTTTTGCGTTGGAAGTATGGATATTGCACGAAAACCTTCTTTTGGTGGTTTATTAATCTCAAGAAGTTCAGGTAAAACGGGTCCTCTGATTCTTCTGTCTACTACATTTCTTTTATATTGACCTCTTGAATCTTTTTCTGACAAACTTTTTTCAACTGGATCCTGATATATTGAAGAAAAAAGGCTGTAATTGAGATTTTAGAACATGAGAATCGCCTCCTATATTATAATTATAACAATATACCTATACATGAAGTCGAAATTAAAACCCTAAAGTCGAAATGCTTCGACTTGAGGCAACTACATAGTAAAAATCAGTTTCGACCTTATTTTGACCCTATTTTGACCAGATCTGCAAATGGTCGAAATAGTTTC